AGGTCCAAAGGGCTGCTCTTGGCCAAAGCGGCTGTACGGGCGAAAACCGTCGGCTCTCCCCGCTTCCACGAAAAACTCACTTCAATGAGTGTCCATGGTTCAGGCCAAGTGCTACTCTCCCTGCGGAGGAATGCAGCTCTGCCCAGTCCACTACCATCAACCACTGGACTCATTTGAAACCCTTACTGCTCGCGCTGAACAGTTTGGTGACTAATGCATGGAATAATTGCCAACGCTTGGGGCTGGCCAACTCCGCTAATATCCTTGTCCAAATATCCTATACACTGTATTGTTAGCTCTGGTGGTATTAATCCACAAAACTAAAAGTAACTATTGACTGTTGTTGACACTTTGCGTACACCGAATGCACGCCGGTGTTATAAAGTCAGTTGTGAGCGCCATTTGCCGAGAGAGAGAGATCTCACTTAAAAAATATTCAATTTTAAATATTCAGCCGTTTCGTTTCGACAAAGAAACCCCGAGGTTGTTGGAGCAATGCCCACAATGGGAAAGCCCGAAGCAGTGGAAGGGGGATAAACGAGGGCGATGGTGGTCAACGGACGAATCGAATCTCAACGTTTATTCACGACACCACCATCCATCGTCGTCATCGTCGTCAATCAACGACGACGTTCTCAAACGGAGATGAACACGAATAACAACACACATACTGACTCCGACTTTTCAAGTTCCCCCCCACCCACCCCAAACCCCGGTTCACTAACTTGCGGAATATGCAGACTGTGCAATCATGGCATCAGCGAAACGGAATGTGACAGGGAGGGTGGGGGGAGGAATGGGAGAACATTTCAACAAATGAGTGAGCGGGGTACGACAATTTCTTTTTTAACGGCCGCTAATTAAATGTTGTGAGTTCCAGGATCAAAACCCGAGAGTAATTTCTCGACACAGGAACTCCAAAATAGCCAACGCTCGGCAGGTCACATCAGAGTCACAGTGTACAATAAATGCTCTCAGTATAGCCGGGCCAGCACAGCTGGTCATATACACGTGACCCGATAATTAGATAATCAGCACCGCTAACGATAACTATCATGATAATGGGGGGGGGGGGGGCACAATTATCATAGTGTCGCGGTGACGTAAACGACCAATTGAAAGGATGTCAACCAGTTTTGAGCCAATTTGGCGAACTTTGAACAAATTAAGTGCAACGGCAAAAAAGGAGGAAAAATATTCGGCTCTGCCCACCAAACGCTTCAAACCCCATGGAGGTTCTCCTCCATTGGAGGCGACAGCACTGCGAGAGGCACCAAGGCCGTAGCCATGGAGTCAACATTGGGGGGGGTCCAAATCATTCCAGGGGGTCTGGGGTTCCCCCCCCCCAGAAAAACAATAAAAATTTGAAAACTAATTTCCTGCCTAGAATATAAAAAAATCACTAACACATATGATGGACTTTGATTTGGTTTTTTTTACAATTATGTCTAATAGTGTATTGTATTACATTTCTGTTTTTTCTTTTTTACCTTTTCTTGTTTCATTGTATGTAATGGCAGAGATTCGGGATGAACAAAGTACAACCATAACCACAATCATATAAACAGAAATATATTTTATAGCAATATATTGGGGGGGGGGGGGATGTGATGCACAGACCCCCTCCATCCACACAGATAAACGGCACAAAGCCCTTGTGGATAGTTCGATAAAATACCTCCATTGATTTCCCCCCCCCACCACCCCGTGAACTTGTACAGCTTTAAATAACAAAGGGAATGTGTCGCTTCATGCACTAGAAGTGTGCGTTGTTGCAAATACTGTAATGAATCCTGCTGCACAAAAAGTAGCCATAGATACCTGACCGAAACAGCTCTCCCTGAGGCCAAGGTGCACATTGGAGCCAGATGTTTCAATGATGAGCAGCTAGTCTGGGCCTAAAGACCCCACCCCTGGGGCCAGAGTGTAAAGGGCACCTAAAGTCACGCACACCACCTCTACATCCTCCTAATATCCATCATCTCAAACTCCAGATCATCCAAAATGCCACCGACAGACTTCTTGCGTTTATCTGCAACTGAGGCCAAGGCCACGTGTTCCCAAAACTCTGGCTCACAATCCAGGGCTGGATCAAACTACAGGATCACACTCGCTGTGTTTATGAAGATACCCACTATTGGCTCTTTATCCCCTGCCTGACTCTTCCCTCTCTTATCTATCTCTACACCCCTCGAGCCGTGATCTCATGCGAGAGGTTGCTCCTTCTCCTCTGCTGCACCCGTTGTCTGAAAATCCCTCCCACGAGACACTGCTCGCTGTCAAACCCACTTCCCCTGTTAAAGTCCTTCCTCATTTCCTCTGCCTATGTCTTTATTTTGAAACATAAAAATATATAATTACACACTCTGTGAATCCAAAATTATAGTTCTGGTGACTTTTTTTCAAAGAGCATCATCGCATTATACGCTTGCATTAGCTATGTAAAAAAAAATGTAAGAACACAAGTTCAGTGAAAATTATCTTGCGATGATGTTCATTGCAAGAAAGCTATTAGCGTGATTGGCTACGTACGTTCAACGTACATACTTGAATCATGATCTGAATCATGAGCACCAATTCAGAAATTGGAACAAATGATGAAGAGGGAACAACAACGCGTGGAGATGCCCATGGTCGAAATCAGACTTAAGAGAGGCAGGAAGCAGAGTGCGTGGAACAGCAGACAAATGTTACATTATAAAGATTATAACATGACGACTGTTAAGAAAAGTCGTCGGCCTTGACCAAGACACATTCGCCAGAAGCGATAATGGAACAATGGATAACTCGTGACAGAATGACAACCAATGGAGTGGGTCGCCGCGGTGGTGGAGATGTTAACTACCTCGCCTGGCATGCAGGAGGTCGTGGGTCCGATCCCAACCTTGATGCCTGTATATTTAGACGTTGCGTGTCTCTCTCCACGTGGTCGTGTGGATTTTCCTCCGGGTCCTCCGGTTTTTCCCTCCACATTAAGAATCAACGTGCAATTAGAGTATATGGCTGCTATACATTTCTACGCGATAAGCCACATCGTTGAGCTATCATGTGTGGGCAGCTCGATTCTGAAAAAGAGCTACATAGCTCATGGGGCTTACCTGGTAAAATAAAAAGTTTAGTATAGAGGAAGCTCCCCCAGAGAAAAAACACCTTGGAAATGGAACAATTGGACCAGTCCACGTGCACGAGATGGAATAGATTGTGGGATATGGTGTGTAAATACCTGTCAACCCCTTATCAGTGCCTACCTTATTACAGACCAATTCAGACCTTACTGGTCACCCCGTGCCCTTATAAATCTCAACGTTCATCCTACAAACTCCCATCACAAGAGAGAAACACAAACAAATAGACACAAAACTATTTTTTGCCCGTATTGAAACGTCTGTACGCTGTACGGACCTGCAAACTCGATTTCCCTGCACAAGAAAATGAGTAAGCCGTATGGTTTGAAAGGTATGCGTGTATCATTGTGGGATGACGCGACTGTGAGAGAAGGATTTACTGCATGGGGAGGGTCCTTTATCCAGCAGACCTGTGACCCCACAAGCATGCTTGTGCACACACACTGATGTGGCCCAATCTCCCCCACACGATCACTCACATATAGCGGCAAAGGCAAAGGTCCCCCGTGTAGCCTTTAATAGACTGTTGGGGCAAGTGTTGTTAGCAAAGCACCTATGATAGCCGGCACGGCGCACGAGGGGGTGGGTGGCCAGCACCACGCCCGGCCGCCTTCGTCTCCCTAGTAGCGATGTTTACACATCGCACCAGGTACTCATTTGAGGCCGAGTCGACCTAGGGGAGGTCCAGGACCGGTTCAGATAATCTTCACCGGTGTTGGCCGTGAGCGGGAATTGGACTAACCGCTACACTACCGCTCCCCACATGCACAGGCGCACACACACACAATCACTCAATCACAGACAGACACGTACACACACCGATCCAAGTTCCCATTCACAACGACAACACAACAGCCGCCATTCGCCAGCCACTAAGTGGCGGTGACGTCACCGCGGCGCTTGTGCCAGGCTAGGTGCACTTCGAGGCCACTTAAAGTGTCCGGTAGACACGACGGCAGGAGGTCATGGGACAGACCCAGGTGTTTATGGGATGACTGAGATGACTGGCAGAGGATGCGGCACCTGTGCCAACACAGTGCCCATACACATGAACACGCTCTAAAACAGACACACACGCAACAAAGACAAAGGCCCCCCTCCTCCCGTGTAGCCTGTAACAGACTGTTGGGGCAAGTGCTGTTAGCGAGCACCTACGAAGGCCGACACGGCACACGAGGGGGTGGGTGGCCAACACCACGCCCGACCGCCTTCGTCTCCCCAGTGACGATGTTTACTACACACCGCGCCAGGTACTCATTTGAGGCAGAGTCGACCTAGGGGAGGCCCAGGATCGGTTCCGATAATCGTCACCGGGTGTTGTCGGGCTGCGAGCGGGAATCGCGACTCGGGTCGCAGGGTTCGTAGTTCGGCGCGCTAACCGCTGCTCCACCGCTCCTCCTCCCCCCCACCAACACCACCCCCCCACCAACACCACCCCCCCCCCCACTAACACCACCCCTCACCAACACTCTCCCACCACCACCCCCAACAACTCTCTCACCACCACCCCCAACAACACTCCCACCACCACCACTCCCCCCACCACCACCACCTCCCCCCCCCCACCATCACCACCACTCCCCCCACCACTCTCCCCCCCACCACCACTCTCCCCACCACCACCACTCTCCCCACCACCACCACTCCCCCCACCATCACCACTACCCCCACCACTCCCACCACCACTCCCCCCACCACTACCACTCACCCCCCCCCCCAACACCACTTCCCCCACCACCAACACCACCACTCCCCACCACCAACACCACCACTCCCCACCACCCCCCACCACCACCACCACCCCCCACCACCACCACCACCACCCCCCACCACCACCCCCCACCACGACTCCCCCTTCGTCCGCCACCAACTGACCTGCCGTGCCCGCCGTCGCCGTAGATGCGGAGTCCCGCGAGCACGGCCGCGACGTCCCCGGGCCCCGCGGGGGGGTACCCACCGTGCCCCACCGGGTACCCACCGGGCCCCGAGGGGTACCCACCGGGCCCCGCGGCCTCGAACTCTCGGGGCACCCCGGAGGGGGGCCCCCCCCCGTGCAGAGCGACCCCCCGGGACCCCCCCAGCCTCACGTCCTGGGCCCCGGGGCCCGACCGCCTCAGCCGCAGTGGCCCCTCGGCCGCCGTGGAGGCGAAGTCCTTCTCGCAAGAGCCCATGGCGAAGGGTTCAGCCTGGGTAACCTCCTCCTCCTCGTCCTCCTCGTCCTCCTCCTTCTTCTTCACCGGTGCTGGGATGGAGGTGGAAGGAGGAGCACGATGATGGAGGGTGATGCGGTGATGATGGACGTGGGGTGCTGGGATGGAGGATGATGATGGAGGTGGTGATGGGAGAGGGGACCCGCTTGCCCTCCGTCACCACTCCCCGTCGGTCAGGGATGAAGGCGGTGGAGGCGAGGGGGTGACGACGGAGAGAGATGAAGAAGATTGAGGAGGTGATGGTGGGTGAACGTGGGAGCGAGGCGATGGAGGTTGCCGACCGAGACGATGGTCGAAGAGGCGATGGAGGGAGGGGGGGGGGGCAGCCACTCGTGACCGCCGTTCCCACCCGCGGACGAGATGATGACGACGACGACGACGATGGCGTTAGTGACGAGGTGACGGTAAAATCATCCGGGAGTCACTCGCGCCCGCCCGGCTCCGTGCGCGGCGGTGGAGCCATGAAGCGAGCAGCGGTGACGACTCTGATGCTGCCGCTGTCTGCCGCTGTCTGCGTTGAACGTCCACGATCCTTTCTTTTCACCGCTTGCTCGCCTGCAAGAGCGAGAGAGACAGAGCTAGCTATGATGGCAGAGTTTGTAGGGAGGCGTTGGGGAAGAGAGCCGCTGCTGCTGCTGCTGCCGCCCGCTGCTTCGATGTGCGCGGAACCGCTCCCCCCGCCCCCCGTGCGCCGACACCGCCGCCACCGACGCGCGGAGGGATATCTCCGGCATTCCGCGTAACGCGGCGCGCGCAACGCACCACGACAACGGGCGCGCTTCCTCCGATGGGTGGTTGGGGGTGTGTGTGCGCGCGCGCCAAGTAGTGCGTGGCGTGGCGAGGCTTCGCGCGCTCGCGGACGGGTCACGTGGCCGGGGTTGGCGTTGGGTGGATGCGTGGAGGGGTGGTGGGAGATGAATCGGGAGAGTTGGGAGGGGGGGGTGATGATTCTGGGTCGTTGGGAGGGAGGGGTGATGATTCTGGGTCGTTGGGAGGGGTGGGGGGGGTGATGATTCTGGATTGTTGGGAGGGGGGGGGGGGTGATTCTGGGTCGTTGGGAGGGGTGGTGATGATTCTGGGTCTTTGGGAGGGGGGGGGGGTGATTTATCGGGAGAGTTGGGAGGGAGATGATTATGGGTCGTTGGGAGGGGGGGGTAGGATGGGGATGGAGAGAGATTACGGAGAGTATGATGATGATGGGGGGTAGTGGATATTAGGTGGGGAGAGTTTGATGCGGAATGGAGTGGGAAGATGTAGAGAGATACGATTAAGTGGGGTGATAGAGGGAGGGGGGTTATGTAAACTATAAAACTATAACCCTGCATTGATGCGATACAATAAAAACTATAAACAATTTTTTTAACCCTGCCAGGTAAGGTTCACTGAGCTTTGCAGAAGCGACCTGGCCAAGAATTATAGCACAACAAAGTGGCTTATCATCATCACGTGGAAATGTAAAGCAGCCCAATGCTCTCGGCACGTGATGTTGGTTCTCAATGTGGAGGAACAAACCAGAGGGCCCGGAGAAAAATCTACGCGACCACGGAGAGAGACAGGAGAGAGAGACGTGCAAACTCCAAATATACAGCAGGCGTTCAGGGTCGGGATCGAAACCACGACATCCTGCATACCAGGCGAGGGATGTAATTCGATGATATGGGATGACAGGGGGTGATGGGAGCAACGAAGACGGATGGCGGAGGATGTTAACTGCTAGAAGAGGGAGTGATACGTCACCAGGTGTGATGATGGAACATGCAGGCGTCCGGGGTCACGGGAGAGCATCCAGTGTCCTTTAGCAGGATCCCTGAGTTGATCCCAGAGAGAGGGGAATGTCCACCGTACGGCGGACTTTGACTTGAGTGGAACCTCGTCACCACATCGTGTGGCTTGACTGGCCCAAGCTCACCCCTCGCCACACACTCCACACCAAGTGCCCTTGTAAGCTTCAACTTATCGCTTATCTGTCAAATTCCTGTCCGCAAATCCTCGTATCTGCGAAGGGCCAGTGCTCTTCCTATTGCGTGACGCCAGATGCATCTGTTTTTCGTTGTTCGAAGGCCCTATTCCCGTCTATCTCGAGTGAGATGAAGTAGGTATTGCTCGGCCACTCTGCACTGTGCTAGCACGGTGCCTGTGTAGAACCGAGTGCTTGTTTGCGGTTATTCCGCCCTGCACGCATTTTGTGTATGTATGTTGAACTTTTTTCGCACCGTACGGAGCCAACCGTGCTAATAGCGGGGTGTCGGGGAAGGCAAACAAACGAAACACAAAAAACTGTTCTAAAGAAATGAGGGTTCAATCTCGACTTAAAAGTGCGTAGCTCCAATGGCTTTCTAATATCGGACGGCCGCAGGAGCGCATCTGAAAGCGCGCGATGCGGTCTGACCGTCTTTGTTCGATGGCCAGCAGCCAAAAGCCGCTGCTGTGAGGATGGTCGGAGTTCGTGTGATGATGGTGTATGCGCCCCTTGACGAGATCAGGGAGGTATCGTGGTTCATTTGGGCATTATGCCCAACAGGGATTTAAAATCATGTGTAATGGGGTGGGAAAGTGGTGGCCCAGATAAAACACGCATCATGCTAAACTTGTAATTTAAATGCTATATTCGCAAGTATTCACTGTTTAGCTCAGTAGAATGGGGGGGAGGGGGGGGTGCATGTCTAGGACGCGTCATCTGTTTGTATTGCTTCTTAACGTAATCGGTTTACTTTCTGAAATGTTTGTGGTCACGTGGGAGCTCAGTCGCTGAACCTCAACGAGTGGGGAGCAGCTAATACTAATTATACCGGCGCGTATGAAGATATTTTGGTTTATTTTTTTTAAATGAAGCACGTATGGTTAATCCACAACCCGGATAACCCGCCCACGGATAATTGAGTCGTCTGTATCGCTGACATAAGGATGTTTGTTTGTCCCTTTAGTCAAATTTGCAAACGGGGCCGTCCACAATTCGAAATGGAATTGAAGGGACGTGAGCCAATGCTGAACGTTTATAATCAGCGCCAAAGGACGACACTTCCAGACCCAGTACCCTCATCCAATTACCTCTTCTTTTTTTTTAATCCTTTATATAAAGTTCACTTGCTTGCTTGCTTGCGTGCTTGCGTGCTTGCTTACGACCGTGCAAATCTTTCGGTCGTTTTTTAACCCACTTCCCGTGATCCAATCGAGCTGACATTTTGCACACAGACTCATTGTGCGTGACAATATTTTTTCGTGAAAATTTTTGTTCCAAAATTTTCCACTTTATAGGAATTTTTTTTTTCATATTTAATTTAAAATACCAATGTGATAAAAATGAAACTCTTACTCAAGAAAAACAGAAATGAATAATAAAATAAAACCGATGCCACGCATATAAAGGATTTATAGTGAAACACTTTGTTTTCACGGGTTAATTTTTTTACCCAACAACCAATGAGCTGGCATTCTTATAGTGATGTATTTTCAACCCCGTGATTAAATTACAGAGTTGTAGCCAGGTGGCTCGGACGTCATAGCGATGAGCTGGCACCACTAAGATCCTGGATTCGAACCCATGTTTCCAGCTGTTAAACGATTAAACCGAGGTTACAAGTGTAGCTAAGTTTATGGTCTCCGACCCGGTTACCAATGACTGCACATACACACACACATTGAATTACGGTACTCCATTTAATTTGGCTTTATTCCAGCTCTGATTTTAAAAAAGATATATCGGTGTGACTGTCACAAAGACTTAGATTACTCTCATTCGCAGAGTACGTGGAGAGGTGTGTTTCCCCTCTACATTGCGGTACAAAGGTCACTTGAAAGGAATCTCAGATGTAGCTCTGTGACAACTGCTTCCGTGTGGAGCCGTTGGCTAGCGCTGACAGTCGCGCTGCTCTGCGAGAGTCTACAGTGAGTTATTCGGCTCGTGACATTGAGGGGGTGTGTGGGGGGCGGTGGGGGGAAGAGGGGCATGACAAAAAAAACCAATTGTAGCGATTCAAGATCGCAAAACCAATTCGAGAAACGATTCTCAATTTGTTTAACCTTGTCATGAAGGTCGTGACCCAAGTGCTATACGCAGAGGTCACGTGAACCCATAACATACAACACATACGTATACCAAAAAAAAACATTGATCCTCAATCGATATTGTTGGTATGGTTAGATCTCTGCTGAAAAAGTGACCATCAATTGCATCGCTCACAGCTGATGTAAACCAACTTAAACCGCTTTTTGTTAAGTCCCTCTGTGTGACAGACAGTTTTACAAACATCCTCAACGAACCACGAGTCAAGGGGGTGGGGGTAGTGTTGAGATTTATAGGAATGCGACTCCAGAAACTAAGAAAAACAAACACCTGCGGCTTTTTTTTTGTAGGTGCATATTTGGGCGGTGTGTCACACGCGACAACGGGGTCTTGTCCGGCGAGGGCTGGGTGCAGTCTCATTGCTAGGAAACGAGATTGTGAAAACCCACAGCAGCAGCAGCAGCATAATCTTTGTGGGACTTTTACGGCAAGACCCACAGCGCCCTCTACACAGAAATGTCACCAGCAGCATCATCATCACGATAGCCCAGAGTCGGGGTCTCTATTATCCAATAGGCACAGTAGGTATCGTGCCTAGGGCCTGTAAAAACTAAAGGGCCTACGAAAACAAATGACCACGTTTTTGTTGTTGTTTTTTTTTACACATTTTTTTTACCAAGACATCTTCTTGAATAAATATATATGTATATAGCAAGGATAGGCACAGTGTGTAAATAAAGAGGCAGAGTCATCTTCTTGTTTTTCACAAGGTAACAAAAATTAATACCGGAGATGACATTTTCGAGAAAAAATTTTCATTGCAAAATAAACAATAACATCTTCAAATTGCGTATTTTTTCGCACAATCTCATCCTCAACAGAGAGTAGTGCAAGGGAAGACAAAGGCGGCGTTATCCTACGCGTGAAAGAAAATAGTTAAAGCGGAGGTATTCGTAACCATGGAGCAGCAGTACCAACTTATAAAAGTGATCACGAAAGGCCTATTAAAGAGAAGTGCCTGGGGCCTACAAGAACCTAAATCCAGCCCTGCCCGTTTGTCGTCATTTGTTTCCACTCTCCTCTGTCTTGTGCCAATATGCTCAAGCAAGGCCGTAGCCATGGAGTCAACATTGGGGGGGACCAAATCTTCCAGGGGGTCTGGGGGTCCCCCCCCCGAAAAAAAAATCTAAATTTGAAAACTCATTTCCTGCCTAAAATATATTTTTTTATTCACTAACACATAGGATGGACTTTTGATTTATTTTTTACAATAATGTCTAGTAGTGTATTGTATTACATTTCAGTTTTTTCTTTTTTACCTTTTCTTTTTTCATTGTATGTAATGGCAGAGATTCGGGATTAATAAAGTACAACCATAACTACAATCATATGAACAGAAATATATTTTACTGCAATATATTGGGGGGGACATTTTGAGCATACACTGTATTTGAATATTGGGGGGGGGGGGGGATGTGTCCCCCCAATATATATTCTAATTACGGCCTTGTGCTCAAGTCGTGGCTACATCTGTCGAGCACCGATCTCTTACGTCGTCGTCAAGCCATTCTCTGTTAGGTCTTCCTTTCTTCGCTCAGCAGCAGCAGTTAAAATCAATGTCATCTACGAAAGAAGAATACGGAGAATGTAACGAGCCTCTCAGAACGCAGAGTACCCGAACTACCCCGCCACGTCGCTTGCCAGAGCAGTGGTTCTCAAACGGGGGTACGCGGACCCCCTGGGGGTGCGC